ACCATTCACCTCTATGCTCTTAACAACTTTCTCTTTCAAAATTTGTTCCAAGACCTTGCATACAATTACGGTCAAACTAACAGGCTTGTAGTTTCCTAGATCACTTTTTTCCCTTTCTTAAAAAATAGGAACTATATTAGTAATTCTCCAGTCATAGAGAATGACCCGTGAGTTTACAGTTTCATTAAAAATCCTTGCTATTGGGCTTGCAATTTCATGTGCCAGTTCCTTTAATATTCTTGAATGGAGATTATCTGGGCTCCCCAATTTAGTCCCATTATGCTGTTTAAGTTTGACTTCCACCTCGGATGTGATAATTTCTACCTCTATATCCTTGTTGCCTTTAGCTACCCTGCCACTACCCCTAAGATTTTCATTAGCCTCATTAAAAACGGAGGCAAAGTATTTGTATAGGTGTTGGGCCAGGGCTAGATAATCTTTAACCTCCACCCCATCCTCAGGGCTTAGAGGTGCCACTTCTTTTCTTTTTTTATTCTTATTTATATGGCTATAGAACTTTTTACTACTGGTTTTAATTCCCTTTGCAAGGTCCAGCTCTGTTTGGTTTTTGGCAGTTCTCACTTTATCCCTACACTTTCTGACCTACAAGAGGTAGCTTTCCTTGCTGATCCCTTCCATCTTCCCTTCCTTGTAGGCTTTCTGCTTTCTTTTAATCACCTATTTGAGATGCTTGCTCATCCACCTTGGTCTGCAACCTTTCCCAATGAATGTTTCCCCTTGCTTGGGATGCAGGTTTCAAAGCTCCTGCAGCTTTGATGTAAAGTAATTTCAAGCCTCCTCCACATTCATATCCTTGAGTTCTTCAGTCCAGTCCACTTCCTTAATTCCTTTAATTTTTTAAAGTTAGCGCTTTTGAACTCCAGGACTCTTGTTGCAGATCTGATTTTGTTGGCAACCTCAGGGAAGGCCCTATTCCACATGAGAGGGCCAATGTCTCTGACACACGATTCCTCTCTCTGACTCTTTTTTGGTTCTTGCCTATCATCAAGGCCTCAGGATGCCTCTGTCTTCCACTAACACTTCCCTGTCTGTAGAAACCAAATTCATTATTCTCCCATCCCAACACCTTGAACACAAATCTCCATGGGAAGTTTGCAGCTTTGAAGTACCCCCAATCTGAATAGGCATATCAAAAAATGAAATGTGGCCTGGGGATTAAATCAAAATAATGTATCTATTTACACTGCTCTCTAGGCATGCATGTTGCTCTACAAGCAGATAAAAATGACAGGCCCTTGCCCAGAAGCGCTCACAGTCTAAAGGAGACATAAGATAGCAATGGATAATGCCAAAGAAGATTTGGGGAGGGGGATGGAAGCATGAGGGTGACAGTGGAAGATCATGAGTTGTGCTTATTGTCAGGAATATTACATTTGAGGGCAACATCTGGAATGAAGGCTGGGATCTTCAGTGACCATTGAACAGAAAGAATCGAGTTTAGAGCAGGGGTCTGATGGGGAAGAGCATCCAATGCAGAGCTTTGCAGGTGAGGAAGACATGGTTGGAATACCAGGTGAGGAAGGTGATTTTGGTGGTAGCATGTTGGGTAGACCTGAGGAATGCAATCTGAGAACAGAGGCAGCTAGAGATGTAGAGGTTGTAGCACTCAACATGCATGATAGTCAGAACATGGAGCAAAGTTTCAACAAAAAAAGAAGGGATGACTTTTGGGACTATTATAGGGGAAAAACTGGCAGGATTTAGCAATGACCTGGATACACGGAGACGGGTAAGAGGAAAGAGAATGGAGCTGAGTATAACACAAAGGTTCTGAGCCTAGGAAGGACTTGATTCTGTTCTCATACAATTTAATGGCAAAACTCCTATTGGCTTCAATGATGCAGGATCAAGCCCTGGAGCAGCTGGTGGCATGGATAACAGTGATTGATTAAGAAGGAAAGAAGGAAAAGTTAAAACACGTCATTTTCACCTTACTGAGTATGAATTGGTGATGAAATACTAATGTCCAGTATTTTAGAAGGCAAAATACATAGTTTGCAACTCATACTTGAGTGATGGGGTTGCAGGTTATGATCTACAAGTTAGGGCAGGTCTATGTTAGAAAGTTTTGCTGGCCTTACTGGTTAGAGGCTTGATATTTTGCCAACATAACTATGCCAGTAAAAGCCCTAGTGTAGGCATAATTACATTGATACAAACGTCCTTATATCAGGATAACCTATGCTAGTCCAGGATTTTTATGCCACTATAATTTTGTCTTCGCTAAGAGGGTTTTGCCAGTTTAACTCTACTGGTAGTTAAAATGACAAAACCTTCCTTGAGTAGACTAGTCCTTAGATCCATGCTGCTCTTGGGTGGTTAAGAACTGGGACTTCTGCTGGAGATGACTATCTCTGCCTCTGTAAACAGGTGAGAGATAAGGTGGGTGAGGTAATATCTTTTCACCCACCTTGTGTCTCTAACATCCTGGGACTGACACAGCTACAACTACACTATACACAACATCGGTAAAAATGTGGCAGGACTCTGCTGTTGCCATAGATTAATTCCTGGTGATTTTGGGGAGGCTGAAAATAGTCTGAGAACGATGGGATGGGGCTGAAAAATTCTATGTAAAACACTCTAGTATATAACTAAACCTGGGGAGCTTGTGCTAAAGTTTATATAATCTTTGTTAGGGTTATCCCATTAGTAAAGCAAAAAAGCAGAAAGAAGGGTTAGTCTGCATAGTAACCTAGAGTTTGTCTGTCTCTTGACATTTATGATCTCACTAGTTATTGCGTAGAGCTGAATCTTCCTTTTTGGAGAAGATTATTGAGAAGGTTGTGGCAGAACAGCTCTGTCAATATTTGGAATTCTCGGGACTTCTTGACTCTAGCAATTTTAGTTTTAGATCTTGGAATAGCACAGACACCGTATAGGTTATATTGGTTTATTTCCTCTTGGGGATGGATGGTGTCCATCCTGATTCTTCTATATTTGTCATTTGCCTTTGGTACCTTTGTTCATGAAGTGTTGTTGACTCACTTTACAGACCAAAGAAAAGGTAGATGGAGTAGCTATTCACCCTTTCTGAGGAGGTATGCCTGCCATTTTTTATGCAGTCTTTCAGCCTGGATTTCTTTTTACAATTCTTGGCACCTGCTGCTTGTTCTGGTAGGAGTGGTACCAAGAGTGTTTTCCATATTTTGTGTTTGGCAACAAAGCTGTTGCCTTTTCTTTCATGTCTGTTACTCACCACAGGCATCCTTGGCTTTGTCACCTCAATCTTGGATTACTTTAGTGTTAGCCAAAAATTACAGCTAGTGCTGAATTCCACCAGTCACCTAGTAAACAGGGATTACACTAGTGCTACATGATCTGAACGGGCTACCAGTTGATTTGTGGGTGATGTTTAAGGTGTTGATTGTAACCTATAAAGCTCTAAATGGTTTGGCCCTTGCCTATTTTTGAGACTGACTCTCTCCCTGTGTATTTCGGAGGCAATGGCAATCAGCGGAGGCATTTGAGAGCTAGGAGGACCTTGATTTACAAGAGAACTGCCGCTAGCACAGCATTATCAGTGAGGGCTCTTCCAGATCCCACATTTGGTGATTTTTAGGGCAAGCTGCAGCACCATCCTCTCTTCTGAAGCTTTCCCTGGGAGACGTGTGTGTGGAGAAAGGTTTAGAGTATGGAAGGCTCTAAATATTGCTGAAAGATTGTTTGGTTAGTACTGAACCAATTTGTAAATGCTTTTCATTGTTTTACATTTGTATATGTGCTATGAGACTAGTGTTCAGCACATTTAAATAAAAAATACAAAGACAGTATAATACTTTCCACATACTGGAAAAGAAAGAGACTTGAGGCCAGATTATGTGGCCCTCTGCAATGCACAGCAGGCCAGAAGGGCCTAAGAGTCTCCCCTCTCCCTTTCACATCTGCATATGGTCCAGCTGGTATAGATGGGGAGTACAGGCACTGTGTCAGGCAAATGTGCCCTGTGATGCTATCCTCCCAAAAGGCAGTAGAGCCATCACCCCAATCTTGCTCTGCCTAGTCAGCAGAGGTAGGTGGATACGGAGGGAAAAACATCCTGCACGCTCCAAAAGTTCTGCAGCTTTCTTCCTAGGGCTTCTATAACAGCCTCCTCTGTCCAAAGGGCTGTGCCTTTTGGGCACAATCAATCTGTCTGCTGCAGGGTTTATTATCACACATTTTAAAATGTTAATGTACGATTATTTGCATGAGATTTTGTGAAGCTGCAACTAAACTTTCCCCTAACACAGGTATGTCTGTTGGCCTATTCAGGCAGGTCTGGCAGCCCCAATGTATGACAAATAACAGAAATCTTATGAAAAAATGACATGATTTAATGGAGAGCCCAGGTCTCTCCAATAAGAGGGCAGTAAAACGGACCATTCTGCTCCCTCCCTATTTTACCAGGGATCATTCTGCTCTCTCACCAACAAGAAGCTGAAAGCCAAACATCTATGTATCTAGCTATTTATATGATCCTCATCACCATAGTATTTGAGTACCTCACAATGCTTAATAGATTTATTCCTCACAACACACCTGTGAGATAGGCAAGTATTATTCAACTGAGGCAGAGGACAGATTAAATGACTTGAGCAAGGTCATACAGAAAGTCTGTGGTTGAGCTGGGAATTGAGCGGAGGTCTTTGGGTCAGATCAATATCCTATCCATTAGACCATCCTTCCTACCCTCATGTGCCATTTGACAGCCCATTACTGATTACTCTGGCAGAAACCCAAATATGTTGGCATCTCTCATTCCTATTTTATTCAGTGTTGGCAGCTGCCAAGTTGTTCCCTCTCTGTACTGTTCTGAGTGTTGAGTCCCTCTTCCCATGTCTGCTGGAAAGATCTGTCTTCTCTGACATATCCAAGATTCCAGGCAGAACTTTCCCATGCCATCGTCCCTCAAAATAGCTGTGTTCTTCATATTTATAGCAATGCAAGACTCCAGTGGGCCAATTTGTTGAATTTCCACTGTTTTTGTGTTAACTTACCTCTCCTACATGGGCAGTCTCTTCATGCCTCTATTGATAGGATGTGTTTGATGGTGGGGGAAGTGGAGTATTCAAGATGGTAGCTGTATAGAGTGAAAGCTGTTTTGCATATTTACTGTTCTTTAAAGCTGGTTTTCTAAAAGAGAGAAAAAGACAGAGAAAGGGATTTCTGTAAGTAGCTGGGACAATGAGAACAAGGCAGGCAGTATGCCAAGCACGGGATGGCTGCCAAAACACATATCATTAGCTTGGACCAGCTATAAGCAAGGAAATGAGAAACATATGTTGGAGAGCAAGGTTAGGAGTGAGGGACTATGGGTCAGTGACAGTGGTCCGAAAACTTTTCCCTTGTTCTTCAGCTGTGGCCTGATGGTGTCAAATGTCATTCTGATGGGCTTTATTTCTCATGGTGGTCAGGCTTATTTTGGCTTGGTTTTTTTTGGAAGGGGGGGTTGTTTTTTTTCCCTGATGTGAATTATTGGGAGGAGGAAGAGAACAGACAAGGAAGCCCTTTCTATTTTTTTTTCACAGTTATGGGAAAATAACCTTGTTTTTTGTGATGCTCTCTAAATTCTTCACCCTTCTATGAAATAACGGTGTCTCTGGGACTGGAATTCTGACTGGCCTATGAGAAAAGAAAGGGGTGGGGTGTGTGTGTTCCTAAGTAGTTCTTGCTGTTCTTTCTTAAATATAATTAGATCCGCCTCATTACCTCGTACAGAAGGTCTTTTGTACTTTTTCAGAACTGTATTTCCTGAGAGTCATGACATGCCACAGCTTGTAGCATCCACTCCTATTTTATCATATTAACAGTTTATTTTTAACATTTTTATCATTTATGCACACTTTATCCAAGCTGTTTGCAAATTATTTCATTTTTCTCCAAAGGCTGCACCCAGCTGATCTGTTAGTCACTGACACTTAATAAAGTGTTTGAAGTTCCTGCTCCCTTCCTCAACACCCTCATTCCCTCCTTTCTCTTCCCCTTTGATGGAGGCTTCACTGGATAGCTCCTAAAGAATTTTGCTCTTTCCCTTCCCAAGGCTGAGATCTGCTGTTCTCTCTAATTCCCACATGTAGAACAGCACAGTCAGAAGCACAGATGATATTCCAGGAGACTATTGTTTGGCTACTATTCAGAAGCACACTGTAGCCTTAGTTGACAGGACCCTCAAACTCATCAGAGCTGTGCTGTGGAATCAGGTTTGGCCTTAGCTCTATTATGTAGCACCTTTGCATCTTTATGCTTGGAAATGTGTGCAGAGTTGGAAAAACTGTGCAGTGGGGCAAGAAAGAAAATCAATTTACAAACTGAGTCCTACCCTTAAATAAGCCCCCTAAACCTTTGTTATCAATGGAAGATACAGGAGATTTTCAGATGGTTTCAGCACTGTCTTCTTTCTATTAAACTGGAATTCCATGTTCTGGAAGGTGCAAGTACTCCTGCTTTTACAACAGCATCACAAAAGACACAAGGGTTATAAGAACAGAAAGGGACAAAGCTGAATGTCTGAAACTTGAACTGACCCACATGGCATGGAGAAAGGTAAATAGTGGTGTCCCGCAAGGGTCTGTACTGGGACCAGTGCTGTTCAACATATTCATAAGTGATCTGGAAAAAGGGGTAAACAGTGAGGTGGCAAAATTTGCAGATGATAGAAAACTACTCCAGATAGTTAAGTCCAAAGCAGATTGCAAAGAGTTACAAAGGGATCTCAAAAAACTGGGTGATTCAATGTTAATAAATATGAAGTAATGCACATTGGAAAACATAATCCCAGCTATACATATAAAATGATGAGGTCTAAATTAGCTGTTACCACTCAAGAAAGAGATCTTGGAGTCATTGTGGATAGTTCTCTGAAAACATCCACTCAACTTGCAGCGGCAGTCAAAAAAGCAAACAGAATGTTGGGAATCATTAAGAAAGGGATAGATAATAAGACAGAAAATATCATAATGCTGCTATATAAATCCATGGTATGCCCACATCTTGAATATTATGTGCAGATCTGGTCATCCTGTCTCAAAAAAGATATATTGGAATTGGAAAAGGTACAGAGAAGGGCAACAAAAATGTTTAGGGGTACGGAACTGCTTCCATATGAAGAGAGATTAAAACGACTGGGACTTTTTAGCTTGGAAAAGAGATGACTAAAGGGGGATACAATAGAGATCTATAAAATCTTAACTGGTATGAAGAAAGTAAAATAAGGAAATGTTATTTAATCCTTCACATAACACAAGAACTAGGGATCACCCAATAAAATTAATAGGCAGTAGGTTTAAAAAAACCAAAAGGAAGTACTTCACAAAATGCATGGTCAACCTGTGGAACTCCTTGCCAGAGGATATTGTGAAGGCCAAAACCATAACAGGGTTCAAAAATAACTAAAGTTCCTGGAGGATAGGTCCATCAATGGCTATTAGCAAGGATGGGCAGGGATGGAATGCCATGCTCTGAGTGTCACTAGTCTCTGTTTGCCAGAAGCTGGGAGTGGATGACAGGGGATGGATCACTTGATGATTGCCTGTTCTGTTCATTCCTTCTGAAGTACCTGGCATTGGCCACTGTTGGAAGACAGGATATTGGGCTAGATGGACCATTGGTCTAAGGTGACCAGATGTCCTGATTTTATAGGGACAGTCCTGATATTCAGGCTTTGTCTTATATAGGCACCTCTTACCCTGCAGCCCCTGTCCTGATTTTTCACACTTGCTGTCTGGTCAACCTACATTGGTCTGACCCCGTATGGCCGTTCTTATGTAACTAACAGTACTTAAACCTTCTAGGGCTAGCTTACTGGCTAAGATAATGGCCCTTACTGGTGAGCTCCTGGAATTCTTCCAACCACAGTCAATGTCAGTTTTTCATCTTTCATTCCTCCTTGCAATCTGTCTGCCTGTCTTCATTCCCATTTGTGGAAGTAGAGGGGAAGGGGCTCTAGTGGATCCAGTCAGATCTGCTTCCAGTCCTTTCATTTCTTCTGCAATTACCTTTCGAAATGGACTTAGGTCAGAACATTGGACCACTACTCTGGTGAAAAAGAACCATGGTCTCTCTAATGACCCAAACAGATTAGGATCTCATTTTATGCCTGCTGATAACACTGACAACAATATTTTGCACTTTTCAGTTAAAGTTTTCCAGGTTTTTAAAAATCCACTAATTAAGCCTCACAACACTTCTGTGATACAGGTATTATCTTTATTCTGCAACGGATAAAGGGGTAAAGAGACGTGCCTGAGGTCACACAATAAGTACACGATAAAACCAGGAGTCCTGACTCCTAGTTGCTTACTCTAGCCACTAAATAACACTCTTTACTTGCACACATCTGTGGAATTACCTCTTTAAGCAAGACTATCTTATCTCCAATTTCTCCTACTTCAAGTCCCTCCTTAAAACACACTTCTTTCATATGTACTTAAATACTACAATGATAAATGTTATAGAAAACTCTAAAATAGATAGATGGCAGATTTCCCAACATTGAAGCATTAATAACCTTATCATTAGAAACAAATCAACACAAAATTCATGATCACAGGGGTGACTAGGAGCAAGGGGTCATTTTTCCAGAGTGCAACTGTCTCCATCCCATAATATCATCTATATCTCATAATTTTCATGACTTTTTTAAAAAGCCCACAAATCACAATGGCCCTTCTTGCTGTCCACCATCTCTGACAGAAATACAAAGTCTGCACGGCTCTGCACTATTGGCCTAAGCATTGCAAGCAAAGGATACATGACAGTCCTGTATATGCAGAACTGTAAGAACCAAATTAGCAGGGAATATGATGATTTCTTGGAGGACAGATTATGTGGGACCTAGCAAGAACTGATTCAAGGTTGTTGGTGGCATTCATGGAGCAGCTGCAGATGGTGGAGCGCTGCTTTTGGGCCTGAGAAATGAGCACTGACTTGTGGGATGCACTGTCAAACGAGTTTGGGAAGACAAGCAGTGGCTGCAGAACTTTCAGATGCACAAGGCTATATTCCTGGATCTGTGTGCCGAGTTTGCTCCAGCCTTCCAGCACAGAGACACCAAAAGGAGAGCTGCACTGACAGTGGAGAAGTGAATGGCAGTCACACTGTGGAAATTTATAACGCCTGATTGCTATCGGTCAGTGGGAAATCATTTTGGAGTTGGAAAATCCACTGCGGGGGGCTATTGTCATGCAAGTTTGCAGGGCCACTGTTTCCTGTTACACAAGACTGTAACTAGAAGAACAGGAGGACTTGTGGCACCTTAGAGACTAACAAATTTATTAGAGCATAAGCTTTCGTGGACTACAGCCCACTTCTTCGGATGCATATAGAATGGAACATATATTGAGGAGATATATATACACACACATACAGAGAGCATAAACAGGTGGGAGTTGTCTTACCACCTCTGAGAGGCCAATTAATTAAGAGAAAAAAACTTTTGAAGTGATAATCAAGCTAGCCCAGTACAGACAGACAGAGTTAGATAACAAGTGTGAGAATACTTACAAGGGGAGATAGATTCAATGTTTGTAATGGCTCAGCCATTCCCAGTCCTTATTCAAACCGGAGTTGATTGTGTCTAGTTTGCATATCAATTCTAGCTCAGCAGTTTCTCGTTGGAGTCTGTTTTTGAAGTTTTTCTGTTGTAATATAGCCACCCGCAGGTCTGTCACTGAATGACCAGACAGGTTAAAGTGTTCTCCCATCTCTACGCAAAAGAATTAATGGACACAAATCTGACATCAGGAATCAAAATACTCAAAAACCAGTGGGAGAACAGAACTAGACACAATCAACTCCGGTTTGAATAAGGACTGGGAATGGCTGAGCCATTACAAACATTGAATCTATCTCCCCTTGTAAGTATTCTCACACTTGTTATCTTAACTGTCTGTCTGTACTGGGCTAGCTTGATTATCACTTCAAAAGTTTTTTTCTCTTAATTAATTGGCCTCTCAGAGGTGGTAAGACAACTCCCACCTGTTTATGCTCTCTGTATGTGTGTGTATATATATCTCCTCAATATATGTTCCATTCTATATGCATCCGAAGAAGTGGGCTGTAGTCCACGAAAGCTTATGCTCTAATAAATTTGTTAGTCTCTAAGGTGCCACAAGTCCTCCTGTTCTTCTTTTCAC